TTTGCAGAGCTCTGTCTTATACTATTGTTATGTAAATCTCTGTTCCTCTAAAATTTCAGGGCCCTGAAAGGAACCCCTGGTTACACCTTCTTTGCCCTCTCTTGGCACTCAGTCTGCCCTACTGTCACACTCTACCAACAATGGGTATCATTTGAGGCCAGTGACATTTAATGGGATTGCCAACAGTTTGAGTGCAGTCCATGCCTGACTTCTCCCTGCAGCACCCTGTTAACTTCTGGTGTGCACAATTCTTTGTTAAATGTGCAGATGTTTGGGTGGATGGGTGAATGATCTGATGCAGGAATGACTGGATGAATAAATGAGTGAATACATTTGCAAGATAGCTTCCTGGGGGAAGAGATGAAACTGTCATCTGTGGAACATTTTTCCTGTATACAAAATGACAACAGACACAGCTGAGTGTGAAACCCTCGGCCTGGATCACGCTCTAACTAACTGAGCTCTTCTGCCCAGACACCTGCCTCGCCTGGGCCCGTTACCATGGTAACTATGGCCGCACTTCCCAGGCATCTCTTGAGAATAGGCCTCTTAGAAAGCAGATGGCTGGAGATTTCCACTAACTTGTTCTTTGTTTTTTTTTTTTTCTTTGCAGATTATCAAGGAGGTCCCTCCGCCCCCTGCTGAGGAAAGCGAGGTGAGTGACCAAGGCAGGGTCTGGCCAGGTGACAGGGTGGCGAGTGGGACAGGGAGCTGACTGGGCTGACCCCAGACTCCCACACTCTATGAAGCAGTAAAGCCTGCCTTTGGCTCTTTCTTAACCAAGGATGAACAGGTAGCCATAGATAGAATGGCTTTTAGAAGGTTTTCTCCTTACAAGGATAAAATTTGAGATGCAAAAACTAAGTGGTTTTATCAAGACAATTATTTGGATTCCTAAGGTACTGATTTTTCCTCTACAACAGACACTTCATGGATCTCTCCTCTCCCTGCAGAGATGTCTGCTTTATGTGTGTAGATCAGGGTAAATTGGCCACATTCTCCAAACAATTAGTGGTTTTAGGAACAGACGGATGCTGCTGGAGTATTACATTTTCCTTTCGTTTAAAACAATGTTGCCTAAAGATTTGCCAGGCAGTAATGAAAATCCACCAGAGGGGGATATGTTAATATCTTGGCTTTGCACAGGGTATTAGATCCTCATTGTTTGAAGGAAAAAAAATACTAGACTCCACCATAAATTGTCCTGGTGCACATGTGGCCTGGGGTGGAAGTCAGTGGAGGCACTAAAGGCCAGCGATGAGAAGGAGGCTCCCTGGTCAGGAGTGCCTGCCCAGTGCTTTTCCTGATCCTCA